TGAGTCTATCTCATATAGTAGTTTCACCTTTTAAGCTGCATTACTGAAATAAATGAACATTTGCACAATATTCTAATTTTTTGATTTTCACCTGTACAATATGCTAGTTTCTAAGGATCTAAATTTTGTTCATGTGACCACAGGGATGCTACAATGATCATAAGTATGAAAAACTAATATAAATCATTTTTTCAGCGCTGTTGTAACTTTGAACATTAATTAAATGACTAGTTGTAAATCAAGGATCACTTTACATCAAATGTGGACTAATATGTTTTATATTTTTAATCTTATTTCTTGTATTTAATTTTGTTATTGAATAACCAAACTTTCTTTATATTTTTCATTCTTCCAAAAATAAAGAATAAAGTAAAATGTTTATTTTTATTAGTGACTTTACACAAACTTCTATACTATCCATGTTAAGAAATTTGAGGCAATTTATAATACAATAACAGCAAGTTAGCCTCTTTCCACATTATTATTCTTTTATTTTTATCTGCATGCAATTGTTCTGCTCTCATAGACTCTTTTTTCCTCATAAGATTTTACTGACTACTAAACCTCTTGTAAAGATGTAATTGAAAATTGTCTTTAATAGACCTGTTGACAGGTGGTATTGTGGCATAGAGGGGGAGCTCTTGCCTCACAATCAGGTGGTTGTGAATTTGATCCTAGGCAGGGAGAGATATTTCTCTCTCTGGGCACAATGAGTAATTGTGTGCTGTGACTTCCATGTAGGTGTCAGGAAGGGCATTTAGCCAGTAAATGCTCATCTACATTTAGTCAACCTGGCTCCAGTCTGAATTACAGAGTTTTTAAAAGAAAAAGGAGGAAAAAAAGAACTTTTCACTGTTTCACATACTAGATCAGAGTTGACAGACAATAAAAATAAGAAAGGACAAATTATTTCTTTTAGCAGTTTTCATCCTAGTTGAATTAATGTCTAAATTGCTCTATGCATAAGACTATAAAATCTCTACCTATATATGTGCAGAGGAATTGGATTGTCAACTTCTCAGAATTTTTACGGGGATACACGAATTCTCCATTTGTAGCGTATTGCTTCTGAAAAAGGCCAACGAGACAGCTGTCCCCATTAATCTAGGATTTATCTTCATTGAAAGATGAACAATTGAACATTAATATATACTTCATGGCCTAAGCAAGAGAAACTTCAAACTCCAGCTGTAAGAATTTCCTTGAAAAATCACTTATTGTTTAAAAGAATTTCTAAAGCAAATCATCCATTAAATTAAACGAGAACTAGAAAATATGCAGGCAACTGCAGTAAAGGTCAGAATTCACAAGAATCACATACCACAGCAGGAAATGGTTCCTTCCAGTGAAGAAATATGGGTCAGAATTGCCTCTTAACTAAGGCTGCAGCCAGCTAGCTTCAATTAAGACCTTTGTTTGGCAAGGAGCCTCACTGGGTCCATACTTCGTTGTGCTCTCAATTTGTTGGACTCAATTTGCTGAGTCCAAGGGCCTGGAGGCTGTGCCTCATCGTCTGACTGCTCCTGTTCTTCTCATAGTACCTGTGTTTGATCAGCCTCAGGTGATTCCAGGCTTGGTGATGTTCCATTTGTTCAGCTGCAGCAGCTTCTTCAGAGAGTCAGAATCAGAATCAGTGTCTGAAGAAGGCTTCTCTTTAGTATGTTATCTTTTTTCAGATTGTCTTAGATTTTAAATGGTTATTTCCAGACCCCGCCGAGGGCCACACACACAGGTGGCTCTTTTCGGAGAGGCGGAGGCTTTCCCATGGCTTGTCCGGGTGGAAGTGGGGCTGGAAAGGCGAGCTCACTCCCCCGCCCATCTGTCCGCTCACTCGCTATGCTACCCTCCCCATGCGAGCGGCAGCGGATGGGCGGGGGAGCGGCTCGCCTTTCCAGCCCCACTTCCACCCGGACAAGCCATGGGAAAGCCTCCGCCTCTCCGAAAAGAGCCACCTGTGTGTGTGGCCCTCGGCGGGGTCTGGAA